CCCTAGGTTCTTCATGACCATTTTTTTTTTTTAGATTCCATATATATGTGTTAGCATACGGTATTTGTTTTTCTCTTTCTGACTTAACTTCAACTCTGTATGACAGTCTCTAGGTCCATCCACCTCACCACAAATAATTCAGTTTTGTTCCCTAAAAATATGGAATGCTTCACGAATTTGTGTGTCATCCTTGCGCAGGGGCCATGCTAATCTTCTGTGTATTGTTCCAATTTTAGTATATGTGCTGCCGAAGCGAGCACCAGAACTACCCTCTTAAAGAAGAGAAGGCTCTAGTGAGGACTGAACAATTGAGCACAGAGAACAGTTTATCAGAGTGCCCGTATTTCTGGGCCCCACTGCAGGCCCGCTGAGCCTCAGCCTCTGGAACCTGCATTTTAACTAGCTCCTCCGCTGTCTCTTAATGTACATTTTGTTTGCAAACCACTGCCTTAATGTAGGGGTAAGCGTAAAATCTGTGAAGTCCTAATTCCATAACCTTCCCTTTTCTCCATTATTCGTTCCTGTTCTCCCAACTCATCTTAACAAGTTTTATGGAGCTTTTAAGTTAGTGAATGCCTTTCAAAATAGTAAGAATGAGAGTTCAAAATGGTACAAATTTTTCCATTGCCTGTCTTGGTTCATATTGTAAACAAGCAAAAAAATACGTGTCACATATACTCTGCCCATGGTAATTAGAAAACTGATTAAGCAGTGTGAGGACCTAATTCTCTTAAATTTCTGTACACTTCTTCATCTTCACTTATCTAAGGGGTAGTGCTTATCTTTTCTTGGGTGGAATATGCTCCTTGGATTCCAGAATCTCGGCAAAACCTGTAAAATGAGCTTTGGATCCAGGAACCTCTACCTTTAGTGACAACTGGCCTACAAACACGTGCATGCTTCAGTGACTGCCAGCTGCTGTGAGCCTAGATTCCCTAAACCCAGGACTAGCGTTGTTCTTGATCACTTAAGAGATGTGACTTTTCACGAAAGAGGCGTTCAATCAATACAAATGTTCCTTATGTCCTTGTAATTACCTCTGTCTGCCGAGTAATTACTAGGCATGAGGGGCCTTTACAACACAGGCATCCCAGGCAACACAGGGATCCACATTCCCAGCCTTTTAACCTCTCTCCATACCCAGCTGCTTCCATTAACCTCTCTGGGATCCAGATATTTATAACACTTCAGATTAGGGGTTCTCTGCCACGCCTGTTTCTTGTACCAATGTTTTTCTGACGCGAACAAACATATTCACATGCTGGCTTGCGGCAGTGAGTATAGTGAATGTTTTTTTGGTTAAAAAAAAGTCTCCCTACTGTATAGCACAGGGAACTATGTTCAATATCTTGTAATAACTTATAATGGAAAAGAATCTGAAAAAGAATATATATGTATGTATAACTGAATCACTTTGCTGTACACCTGTAACACAACATTGTAAGTCAACTATACTTCAATAAAAAAATTTTTAAGCCTCCCATTTCATAAAACTGAAAACATTAAATGACCATTAAGTCCTTTGTATCAACTCAGCCTTATAGAATACACTGAAAAGTTCAAAGCTATGAGTGATAATATCATTTTGAGGCTAAGACCTTTCATGTTCCATTTACCCAAGTGGGAAAAATATGGCCAGCCGGACAGTAGTGTATTACAAAGTGATTTTGTTTTGCCTGCTGATTTCATAGGTTAATACTGGTGTTTTAATTATTTGGAATGCTGACATGGTGGGCTACTTACAGCAATAGGGAGAGGGCAGGGCATGCCGTTGCAGGCAGAATCCCACCAGTATGTCCTAGAATCCTTTTGGGACTTCACGCCCAGCAGAGGAAACCCCTTCTACTGGATAACTAAAACTTCCTTTCCTATGATTTACATACAGCCCAGCAAAGAGTCTCATCTATTCAGTAGCCTCACAGAGGTTACATGAGTTGTTTCCAGTTACAAAACGACTTAAGTAGTGAAACAGAGACTGCAGTTTAGCTGCCTACTTCTGCTCTGGTGCTCTTTGGACAGCAGTCTTCAGCTCTAAGGAGATAACATTTATGATCCTTCAAAGGCAGACGAGGAACAAGTCATTCACTTTCACTAACACCCCTTTGAGATGACTGAATTTATTTGAAAGTCTTGTGATTTTGCATATTTTGCTACGACACCTCTGTCTTTCCCAGTTGTTAGAAATGGATATTATTGTACTGATTATTTTGCTTGCAATTGATTTGCATACTGTTATTGCATATTGTTAAATGGTTTGCTGATTAATGACTAATGTTGATTTGGACTAAATGTAATAGAATAAGCAAATTCATTTGTAAATTTAGATATATAATTTAGTTGCTAAATGGTATCATAGAGCTGTTGGAGATTATTTTAGATGAATTCCTTGCAGGGAAACCCTGCCCACATTTTCTTCCCATATCCTATATCAATGTTTTAAGCTCCCCACTCCTTTGTAAAAGAATTCATTTCCAAGTCTGGATTTTAAGCAAACACTTCTCAAAGGCAAATATTTCTCCAGAGCCCAGGGTTAATATAGATTACTTTAAATTCAGAACGTGGTAGATATCTCCTAAACAATTTCTTTTCTGAAGGGTCAGAAAAAATTTGAATATATTTTCATGACCTTGAATCAGTGTGTTGTACAGCATTATCAACAAATTATAGCAATATAAATTTTTATTAATAAAATTAATAATTATATGAATAAGTATCAGATACTTATATCAATACAGGATTATTGAGTTATAGAATTTCTTAGCTGTTAGGAAACACTTGCTGACGAAGCCTCTGGGGTCCAGAGAGCTTTAGTAATTAATACACATACATACACAAGCTAGTTCGTTGTTGAGTCAGTTATGTGAAGGTTTAATATATTCTGCACTTCAGTATTATACATATGCTTATACTTCGGTATATTTGGTATTTTGAATCATCCCCTAATATATAAAAAAAATTTCAACCTGACTTTTCATTTCTGCATTCATCTTCTAAACATATATGCTGCCATTGATTATATTTTATTTCTGCTACTTCATAGGCACCATAAATATTTTCAGTTTGGAAATCAGTTTAAATGGTAAAGAGAAATTAAAGAAGAATTTATACCACAGACAGTTTAACGTATTTTTGCTCTTTGTTAAAACTACATTTTAATATGCTCTGATAAAATTGTATCTCTCTACTAAGGTATTAAATTTGGTAACTGAAAATGGTTCTCCAAAGAAATGTAACTCACATTAATTTTCCATGTGCTCTTTTTTACTTATAGTTTTACAGTCCACGTGTTTTAAGTCTAACAGAAAAAACAATCATGAGGTTGTGAGACAGTTCCAAGTCTGCATCTACATCCTCAGGTTGGTGACCTTGGGTAAATATCATTTTTGTGCTTCTGTTTCATTTTCTTTAAAATGAGTAGTTGAAAGCTTCAAAGACTCTTTCAAAGATTCCATGAGCTTAAAAGGAGATTTGATTGAAGGAAATGTGTGGCCATCATTACCTGGCTGCTCAGTATTTTCATGGACACATACTTGTTACTTACATATGAAGTTTCCTTAAGGAAATTAACTCTTTGTAGGTGTGATATATGGACATTGAGAGAAATGGGATAAATAAGAAAAAGAAGGGGAAACAAGTTAGTGACAAAGGAGCCATGGTAGGCAGTTAAAATGATTCCTCTTTTACCTCTTTATATCTACAGTCTAGTTATTCCTATTTGAAAACCTACTGGCACCAGGTATTATCAACAGGGATGAGTAATATGTAATTTTTATCTTTACTGGGTTACATTTGGCCCACAGACAGTTGACAGCTGTCAGTCAGGTGGCTGGTCAATGAGGAGATACATATAAAGCTGCCAAAATATTTTTGTTTCTTTAAATACTTACAAGTAAACCATTTTAGCTGGAAACTTCTTTGTCCTGAAATTAAATAGATTGATATTCAGAATAAAATTTATTGAAGTTAATTGCGGGGAGAACCAAGATTTTCCCTATGAATATACAAGGTAAACAAAATGGTTTTCAAATGTCTTTCTGAAAGGGGAGAATAATTAATTTGTCTCCACTATAAGCTGTCCTTAAGATATGAAGATGTATTGCAAACAATGCTTAAAGTGCATGTGTTTTACAATTAAACTTTTAGTCATTGCAACTTTAAGCCAAGTTTCTAACTAAGGCTTATTAAAAGAAACCATTCCCATACATTGCGGGCGTTGGCATAGGTATTTTACTGACCTGAAAGTTGAAAGTTTATCAGAAAGGACAAACGTGTAGTTGCATGTCAAACTAGGAGTTAAAGCTTTTTCTCATAAGTAAAAGAAAATATCATAGAATTTTAGATTAAGCCAACAATTTAGGGCAGGGTTAAAATTATAAATTTTAGTTACTTAGAAAAATTTGGGCTATACCTAACAGTGTTTCTAATAGGTTCAGTCACACTTAAATAATTCACAAGAGTCATAAAAAATAATTTGGAAGAAGCTTTTGTGTTATTTATACTTAGTGTTAATGACAAACAGTATTTATAATTATAGCCAATTGTATTGCACACAAAAACTTAACAAATGTAATTTCGAAGTTGACTTAAAAGTGTACGTTCAGTTTTGCAGTACTTAGTCATCTTTAAAATCGAGTACTTTGATTCTTTCAGAATATAGTATTTAACAGACCAGGTAAATAAAAAAAATTATGAAGTGCATGGAATACATATTCATTCTTTAAGAGACTAATGAAGTTATCTAAAAATTTCAGTGGCCATGGTTACTCAGGTGCCAGAATCAATATGACGAAGATGACAAAATATCACATAAAAATAGCAGTTTGAAACCACAATAAGTATACTCCTTTTTAAAAAATAAAATATGCTTTAATCTTCTGAACCATATTCTACATGTCATAATTTTAATGAAAATCAGATTTGAGTTTTGAGGTTTCAAAATATGGTTTCATTAAAATGTAGATAAGATTGTGTTTTAAAAATATTAGATTTTTTTGGTGGGGTGGATAATTTCTGGTAACTTTTTAAACCACAAATATTTCATAATTTTAAACTGCAATTAGGTTAGTCTGAAAGAGTATGATACGTATAAATTTGTGACATATCTGTGTCATCATTGATCCGAAAATTGTTTTAGATAACAGTGGTCATTAAAAAAAATCAGATCTTATTATTTTCCCACTATGCAACAATGTGTTAAGCATGTAGATTGAAAATTATTTATGGGATTGTCTGAATAAAACAATTGCCTCATAGTGTTAATTTATATTGGTAGGAACGTTTCTCTTCTTAAGCACCAGTTTTGCCCCCCACAGCCAAGAAAATTGATTTTATGCATAATAATTTATAGCATTCTTGATCAATGTATGCTGCGCATCCTTTACATTCATTAGTCCATGTTACTTGTGAATATGGATTTTGGTTATTAAAATGGTTTCATATGTTTACTATGTATAGTCCCTAGCTTTAAGCTCCCTACTTGCTTAAATGTTTTCAATTTGCTATAATACAACAATTTGTAGAGAAATGCTGTGAAGCATAGTTAAAAGAATGAGTCCTTGAAATAGAATCACTTTTTAAAAATATGTCCTAACATGTGGTCTCATTTTTCCATATTTTGCATTAATTGAAATCCTATTCTGAAAAAAATATTTTTGCCTAAACTTTTGAATTCACAAAATAAAAATACCAATTACATAAATGTTCTAATTTTGGAAATCAATGACGTAAAAACATGCTTTAGTAGTGTTTATTGTTTATTCTGAAAATTTTTCTCTGAAGAAACTCTTTGTAACAAGAAAACGTTGCCACTTCTAATTATTAAATATTCTGTGCAATACATGTTTTAAAATTGTATTAAAAATAAAATTAATTTCATATTCTCTCTAATCATATTCCTGTCACATGTATGCATAAAAAATTCTAGCCCATGAAACTTTTGAAAAGAGCATGTACCATTTCACATTTTTACTTGGAGAAATATTGAAAAATAACATTTTATTTAGAATGAGTAGATTATGACAGAATTAGATAAAAAGGAGACGAAATGATATTTGTATATTTATTTGAATAGTCTAGTATCATATATATAATTAATTCTTCATCTTTCAGATACTGAAGATAGTAATGAAAGAGACCAACATTTAAAATATGAAGCATTTTCTTTTAAAAAAACTTTTTTTTTTTCACTCTAAAAAGTTGTCAAATGGTAACAGCCCTACTTTCTACACCAGGGAAACCCACAGTTGAGTTAGTTGGCTCTGATTCCAATGGTCTCATCAGCTTTCTGAATGTAGGTACCTCAGCAGTGCCTCTTCCAAGATAACAAAATCAACTTTTAGAGATTAAAAAGTATATTTTGGCAATTGAAACTCACCAGCGCCTTTCTGCTTCTCCAGGAAGTTGTACCCGTCAGCACCTGCTGAGGGCTTTGTTGTCCAAACTCTGACAGGTAAAAAAATTCCTGTAGCATAAAGCCAGACCAGCTGGCTTTGAAGAGAAACCCCCAGTTTGGGCTTCCTTTGCCTCCTCTCCTTTTCTATGAAGACCCAGGCTTTCCCCCCTTGATCGTCAAGCCGTAAGATGCGTGATCCCTGTGCACAAGTGTCTGGCAGGCCAAGGTGCACCTGTTCCTGTCACTCTGGAGTAAATTTAGCTGCAAAGGTATCACTGACAACCAGACCTTTGTCAGTGCTGGCAAAAGAACACAGACTTGCTTTCCTCTCCTCCCCCCTTACTAGCCCCTTCGCTGCTAGTTCAAATGGAAAATATCAAATCAGAAGTCTATCCAAAAATCATTCCTGAAAAATGAGATTGCTTTCATATGGTAAAAAGTAAGTTTCTTATTTCACACAGACTTTAAAATTACATTTCCAAGAATGATCTTGGAAGAAGACGAGTTTTTGTTCAGTTAATTGTGGCTGGAAACTTTTTAATGGAAACATAACACACATTTACTTCATTTCAGGTTATTAAATTGTGTTAAGCATTAAAGTTAGTTGCCATTCTTTGCTGTAGCTCATTTGTTCTTTTTGATCCAAAGATATATTAGAAGGTTAAAACTCATCACATAGGGGGGATTAATCATGCTACCAAAATTAGAATGCATGTAGTTCTGAGAGACTGAATGTCAAAATTGTATGCTCATAGCACTTAAACGATTGGGAATCTGGGATCCCACTACGACATTTAAAATGGCAGCTAATGTCTGTGGCAACCTGGGTGTTTAGGAGCGGGCTAAAGCTAGAGTTCTCTTACTCTGTGATTACGGTAAGGACATTTATCATTTATGTGAATTTTTTAGATTAATTTCCTTATTGATGGTTTGAGAGCAATTCCTCTTGAAGGAAAAGAGAGAGGCAGGCAGTGTTCATTGATACATCTGACATAAATATAGTAGTCAAGATATATAAAGCAGCCCAAGGAATAATGTGCTTAGCCATGGCATTCAGAGCTTTTGCTTTATTAATTATGGTTTCTTAAGTGGTGTTTAAAAGAGTTGTGCAAAGTACCTGTTCTACCATATTTTTATTGCCATTTACCAGGGTTGGGTGTGATGAGAAGAAGAAATCTGGGTCAAAATCAAAAGTGCTTTGTAAAATAAACAAAGTTCTTATTTACTTTGTATAAACAGCCACTCACCAAGCCTCATTTCTCCACAGGGCACCACTTTCAGATAAAAACATAGACCTGAATGGCATCATCCAGTATCCAAGGAAACCATGTAAGTACCTCTCTCACTGTGTACTTCTCTTATTCAGGGTTTAAAAGCTAGCTGAGTACTGAATAAGTGAGTGTTTTTATTTAATAATTATATGGGAGCTACTTTTTAGGAGCTTGCTAAAAAGAAACAGGTTCTTGATTGTTACATGCATCGTAGCAAAACCCTTATGTTTTCCTCATATTTGAGAAAATTATGTGTTTAGTCCCAACTTCTCCATCAATTCTCATTCTTAGGTACAAAACAGCTACTCAGAGTCTTAATGAATTAAGAGTTTAAAACTTTTCCAAGACCCATTAGTGTCTGAGAAACAATGTTTCAGAGGCCTTGTGCCAGGAGTAGTTACCTAATTGTAATAAAACCTTTTAAATTTCAAAAGTTAAGAAAAATGACTTGGAAAATAATATTTTGTTGGTAAACATTTATAGCAATTTGTTTGGTTTTAGACTTGCTTGGGGAATGAGCAAGTGAGCAAAGAGATGAGGTTAAGTATTTAAATGACCCAAAGAATCTTGAAAGCAAGTGTAATTTCCAAAATGCAAAAATCTGTTAGCAGAACGGTTTGGGAGGTTGGCATATTATTTTCATTCATTCTTTCTTTTTTTTTTGTCCCCAAGCTAAGGTACATTTCTGTAGCTAATTTCAAGGCTCTAATTAATTTTCAGGAACTATGGAATCTACTATGGAAATTTAGTTTCAAAACAATATGCTATTCTGGAGAAAGATCCATTTCTAAAATAATTGGATTGTTCTTTCAAGTATTTCTTTTTTTTTTTTTGCGGTACACGGGCCTCTTACTGTTGCGGCCTCTCCCGTTGCGGAGCACAGGCTCTGGACGTGCAGGCTCAGCGGCCATGGCTCACGGGCCTAGCCGCTCCACGGCATGTGGGATCTTCCCGGACCGGGGCACGAACCCGTGTCCCCTGCATCGGCAGGCGGACTCTCAACCACTGCACCACCAGGGGAGCCCTCGAGTATTTCTTTACCTGGACTTTATTATGTTTTTCATAGTTGACCTTTCTACTTTTAAAATCAAATTATTTTCAATGCTAAATGATTATTCATTATAGTTTACTTTTTAATGAAATACTTAAAAGTATACTCATGTAATTATAGATCTTTTTTACCATTTGCGTCAGCTATGTGGTTTAGCTAGTCTTTTAAACACAGACATATTACTTTTCATCAAGGTTTTCAGGAGTTGCGTTTAAATGCAGCTGGTTTAGCCCTGTGGTTTGGGAGTTTTTCATATTATTTGTATTTACTTTTGTTACTGTTGTATTTCTGACTTTGCTCTGCAGCCTGGTTCCTTGCTAAGCATGAATGACAGAGATGATCTCACTCATAGTTTCTCTGCTAAATTAGACATACCCTTCACCTGGTCGGAGGACCTGGCTAGGCTGTGAGAGTTTTTTTTTTTTAATGCTAGTTACAAACTTCAAAAGTGTGGAGGTGGAGGCCTGAAGTACTGCCCTCTAAACTAGGAATTCCTTTCCACAAAATAAAGGTAATTGGTGGCAATTGCTGGGTAAACTCGGAAGCAGTGCACGGTTAGAATAGATCATTATAAAGAAAGAAAATGCAAATTGAAAGGGAAAACTAGCTAATGTTATAATTCCTTATCTTGAGGAAATGGAATTTTAAAAAATTCCGTTCTCCCTATAGCGAGAGGAAAAAGAAAATCTACACTGCAGTGCTTGTGGCACAGTTTTAAATATTTACATTAGAATATAGATTTTCCAGAAAAATCATTTAAATCTGATAGGTTTAATTCAACCTCCTATACCAAAGAGAAAATGACAATAGAAACAAATTGATATATGCACATCAGTTCATCAGTAGTGGCCTCTCTAACAAAGACCATCATTATTCAATAGAACTTTCTGTGATGATGGACATGTTCTCTATCTGCACTGTCCAACATGGTAACCAGTGGCCACATGTGTCTGTTGAGCACTTGAAATTGGCTTGTGCAATGGAGAAACTGAATTTTAAATTTTATTTAAATTTAATTACTTTAAATTTACATAGGTCATATGTGACTAGTGGTTACTGTACTATATTTTGTTTTTGTCAGAAATTAAAATGCCCTCTCACAAAGAATTTTTAATCCTTTGGTATTCTATCACACAATATCATTTTTTATATTTGCTTTAATATTTAAATTATCATTGTAATGAAATTTTTTATAACATTTCCCAAAGATAAGTGTTTTTAATACAGTTGATGGGAAGACATTATAATATTGTTTTATAAGCTCAGACTAGCAACTTTTAAAATGGCCATTGTAAGCAAGACTGTTTCTAAAAAGAAAAACACTTTAGTAAAAGTTCTAACTGTGGTGATAAATATTTTGAAAAGTTCACTTACAATTTCTGTAATACATCCATGCAAATATTTCCCAAAATGTAACCAGCCTACACAAATGCTCACGGGCCTTGATCCCCCAAAGTTGATTCTGCTCCCAAAGCACACATCAGGGTTTAAATCTGTTCCCAGGGCCTTTTCAGACATTTAGTGAAAATGAACATTAGGGTGCATGATGATATTTTAATAATAGTACTAGTACAGTAGTATTATAGACAGAATAATTACTTAAAATACTGAGAATTTAAAAGTTACATTTAAAAAAAAATCAGTAAATTAACTCACTTCTTGCATATATGTAGCATATTGGTTATTTGTAGGATATTGAACTATAGACTGTGAGGAATTTTTTTAAATGGAAGATATAACACTCATCCTCTTAGGAGCTCCCTTTATTGGACTTGGGCATATCCTTTTGGAGGGTAGGATTCATATAAGGTAAGAAGAGAGAGATTTCTTTTGGCAGAACCTTGGACAAGCTACTCAAAATATCCCTCCTACTGTCAAAAAAAAAAAGAAAACAGTTTTTAGATAAAACATACTTTCTAATGAATTATTTGACTTGAGAAAGAATTTTGGACATCTCCAAAGATTCCTTTCCCCTCATCTCAAAACCCAGAAACTAAAAAGTGTGAGCAGTAAGTGGAGTTGTTAAGCAAACGGTAGACATGGGAATGGCCAAACTGAATGGAATGAGCTATGTTGCAAGGATGCCGTTGGAAGGACAGCAGTCAACATGCTCTATTAGACTTCTCACACACCTTGCCTTATTAAAAGAACAGGAAGAAGTAACAACCACATTTATAGACCCAGGTTTTTGGTCTCCTTTGATATCTTTTGGTGTCTTAGATTAGGTAGTCAACCACTTGTATACTGTCCGGTTTTCAGAGAGAAGGTCTATCCTTGCTTAAAAGACAGTGTTCTGTGTGGAGAACACATGGTCCTCCGGTAAGGAAATCCGGCAAATCAGTCTTCAGTGTCCTTGTAAAATATCGTCTCTGATCTCGCTGTGTCTGAGAAATTGTTTTCATTCAGACTGTGACCGCTGAGTCCTTAACTACCACCTCAATTATGTATTTATTTGTGTGTTTTTAAGTTTATTTATCTAAATTTGTTATATGAAAATTCCAAACATATTTAAAAGTAGAGAGAATGGTATGAACTTGCATACAGTTACACCTACTTCAACAACTATTGTCTTGTAGGCAACTTTGTTTCATCATATCCCCTTACCACCTCTCACCTCATCCCAAATTATTTTGAAGCCAATCCCAGACATGACATCACTTCATCCTTTAATATTTCAGTAGGTATCTTTAAAAGATTATGACTTTTTTTTAAAATTGAGAAAATGAGCCACATCTAAAAAATAAACCACACTGAAAAAGTCAGTATTTCTTATTGTTGTCAAATAGGTACAATCAATATTCAAATTTTTCCAATTGCCTCAAAATTTTTTGTAATTACTTTTTACTGTTTGAAAGAGAATACTTATAAGATCCACACTTTGCAATTGGTTGATATTTCTCTTCTCTTTTAATCTATAGGTTTCCCCCTCAGTGTATTTATTTTTCCTTATTTGTTGAGAAAACTGGATTGTGCTTGTAGAGCTTTCCATAGCTTGTATTTGCTGATGCATTCCTGTGGAGTTGTTTAATAAGGTCCTCTGTACCATGTCTATCCTATTAGTTGGTAATTAAGACTAGGAACCTGACCAGATTCATTTGGAGAAGGCTGGGTAAAACTACTGGTTCTGTCTCTATTTGAGATGTTAGCAGGTATTGATCATTGCTTAGATCCATTTATTCCTTAGGGTTAGGAATACCCAGCCTCGTGTAGTTTCCTCACACATTTGCCCAGATCAATACTCTGCTAAACTCCCGCGTGGGACTCTTTGCAGATCTTAGGAGAGCTTTCTCTGTGCAGCAGCTCTCTGCCATGGGCTCTGACCTGTGAACTGCAGCCACCCTGTTCTGCCATGCCTTCACTTCTGTTTCCTCAGCTCAGGGAGTTTGTGTCCCTTGAGTTACCCTCCCTGTGCCACTGCCAAGAAACCCTCAAGACAGTAAGCAGGACATTCGTAAGATTCACCTCCTTGGCTCTTCATCTCTCAGGGATAACTGTTCTTTGTTGCCTGATGTCCTGTGTCTTAAAAATCATTGTTTCATATAGTTTGTCAGAGCTTTGTGGTTGTTGTTGTTTTAAGAAGGAGGGTACATCCAGCCCCTCTTAATTCATCTTGGCTGGATAGGAAGTCTCTCCAATTGTTTCTTAAAAAGTTTAACCATAGCTTATTAATTCAAACACTATCTTCACATGGAGCTCAGTACTTGAAACAAAGTGAAAAATGTTGGAATTGAAGTGTGTGTGTGTGTGTGTGTGTGTGTGTGTGTGTGTGTGTACTTTGGAACACTGCTAAAGTCTTTAAACTGTCTGTGCAACTTCCAGGACCTCTTCCTGATATTTTTCCTCCCAACTAATTACGTTTTTTCCACAAGATAAGCTCTGTTTTATTTCCTGCCATTTAGAGGCAATGTTGTGGTTCTTTCATTCATTCCTTCAGCAAGTATTTTGAGTACGTACTGTGTGTTCTATAAAGTGTTGGAGATACAGTGATGAATATGACACAACCCATCCCCTTCAAAATCTTGCCATTTATTTTCGCACTGAAACTTGTACATGAATGTTCATAACAACTGTATTAGTTAATAGCCCCAAACTGGAAATACCTAAGTGAGCATAATGGATGAATGGTTAAACAGACAGTGATATATCCATAGTATGTAATACTACTTAGCAATAACTAGTAATCAACTATTGCTATGGGCAACAACTTGGATAAACCTCAAGGAAATTGTGCTGCATGAAAAGAGTTTACCTTAGACAGATACATTATTGCTTGTTTCCATATATATAACATTCATAAAATAACATAATTACAGAGATGGAGGACAGATTAGTGGTTGCCAGGGGTGAGAGGGGAGGGGAGGGAGTAGGTGTGGACATGAAAGGGTAGCACTGGGAGTCTGTGGTGATGTCACAGTTCAGTGTCTTGATTGTGGAGTGGTTACTCAAAGCTACAGATGTGATAAAGTTGCATGCAGCTACACACATATACACACACATACAAATAAGTGCATGCATAACTGGTGATATCTGAATAAGCTTTATGGATTGTACCAATGTTAATTACCTGGTTTTGCTATTGTAGTTATGCAAGGTGTTAACACTGGGAGTGGGGAGAGGGACTGGGGAAAGGGTACACAGCACAGTCACAGGACATTTCTTTGCAACTTTTTGTGAATTTTTAATTATTTCAAAATCAAATGGTTTTTCTTAAAAATCTTGCAATTTCATGGAAGATACAAGGAACGAAATAGCCAGTTACAATACATTGTAATAATACTCAGTTAATGGAAAGTACTATGTGGTATGTGTATGGAGGAGTACCTTATTCCCAAGTCCAGAGGCGATGGTCTCTACTGCTCCTTTGTCTCCTACAACTTCCCAGTCAGGCCCTGCTTCTATTTGAGAGGCGTGTATTAGTGGTAATGGACTTGCAGAAGGCTTGTGAGTAACCCTCCTCCACCCTTACCACACAGAACGATGTGCCCTACTCGTTAAGGCCTCAGTAAAATATCGTCACCATACAAGGCAAACATTTTATAAGGATGAGCCTGTATACAGTAACAGGAGTCTCATGTTCTTACGACATGTTCAGATGTAAGTTCAAAGACCTATTCCAAATTTAAGTATCAGTGAGTTTTGGATTACACACAGTTTTGGCTCATCTCAGGTCCTATCCTGCCATCAACCCCCGTCAGCCAGAGTTTTACTCTGACCTGTTTAGAAATAGCCCTTGTGTGTGAGGACGAACACAGAGCTGCAGTGGGTTTTGTACATACATTGTCACTTGTTACTGTAATGTATTTTAATTCAGTGACAGATTGTCACATATTTTGAGTATTCTTAAGTTATAAAAGTTTTTCCCCGTTGAAACTAAGTAGAATATATATATTGTTTCTGATATGTTGGGAGACATATTTTGGTTCTATTCATATTTAGTAGGAAGCACTAGAAAAGCCATTCAATGTGAATTTATACTCTTGTCACATTGTGACAACTCAGTTGTCTTCTTAGAATTTTATTAGGCTGTGTCTGTATTTCACAAATCCATGACTAGATGGGCTTACAATGTATAAGCTGGAAATATATATATATATATATTTTTTCTGCGGTACGTGAGCCTCTCACTGTTGTGGCCTCTCCCGTTGCGGAGCACAGGCTCCGGAAGCGCAGGCTCAGCGGCCATGGCTCATGGGCCCAGCCGCTCCACGGCATGTGGGATCTTCCCGGACCGGGGCACGAACCCGTGTCCCCTGCATCGGCAGGCGGACTCTCAACCACTGTGCCACCAGCGAAACCCTGGAAATATTTTGATGTTATTTGTTGTTGTTCTTGTTGTTCCAGAAACTCACCCCTCCTCTCAGTGTGAGGAAGACCTCCTTGGAGTTGCCCTTGGACTAAGGAGGGTGTCTGAGTCTGTACCTGTGTGTGTTAGTGGAATATTCACTGGGTAGCAAACATCCGTAGACTTTTTAATCCAATCTGAGTCTCCCTGAAATAGAGTCTCAAGGTGTATGATTAGGCAGCTTTGTTTGTGTCATTTACCTTTATGAACATAGCAGCCAATATGAAATTGCCTATGTCTACTTTGTGAAATTCATACTTAGCTCTATCTTTTGAACTCATTCTTCTTTTTTAAAAAAAATTGATGAATCGATGGGGTCTTGATCCATTTTTTTCAAATTTTGCTAAGATAGAAATAATATATTTTAGATTTAACAGAGAGTTTATTATTGATCAGATCCTGAGACTTTTTCTCATTTTTTTTTGTGGTGTCCAGTTGTATACTACTTTTTATTTTGACATTTTATTAATTTTGATTTTCTGAAATAAAAACTTGTTATTTGTGTGCTAAATCCTTTAAAACCATTTATGAAAACAAACCAGACCATGTCAATGATACAGCTGACTCAGAATATTTCTTTCTTGTTTTCTGGTAATTTGTACCAACTGGGTGGTCCTGATTTTTATATGACCATGATCTTTTCTGTATCCTATCCTATCTCTGTATATCTTAGAAAATTATTACTTATTTCTTATTCTTATTTTTTTTAATGTATTTATTATAAGGACTCTTAAGGTTACATAACATTCCACATGTTGTGTACTTTTCCTACAACCTTAAGATTGTACCATGTGAGTCTGGTTCTGTAATACTGTTAAATAATATTACAAGCATTTTTCTTGGAGAGCTATAGGGATTAACAGGAAGCAGTGGCTTTTTCATAGATTTGGGAAGCTCTGAAATGGTTTTTTCTAGGTAGCCTAAATATCCTTGAAACATTAATTTTGGAATAAGAGTTGAATGAGCACCAATGTAATTCCTCCACTTTATAAAGAGAGAGGCACTGCCACCATCTGACTTCCTTGCCCTGTGTGTACCTGAACAAAATTGAGCTGAACGTACTTATGCCCCCACCTGTAGCCAATCCTGTCAGTTCCTGGACCAAACCCAATGACAACAGGAAGCATATTTAGAGCCTCTGAGTTTTTCTCCCTCAGTGGGTACATCTGGTGGCCCAACTAAAACTGCTAGGCTCACTGTTCATTCTCAGCTCGAGTCTCTGTAGTCCACTGGATCTGGGAGGGCCTGACTCTGAGCCTAGCCCCAGGGGCCTGTGTGGCCTCACAGTCACAGAAATTATCCCCTTTTCTCTTTTTATGGGACTAGGTCTCTGCTAAGTCAACTTGGGTCTTTGGATGCTGTCTCTGTCTTTAGACTGCACTGTGGTGGCTTACGGAATGTGATCAGATCTGATAATGACCACTCCTTTCCTGATTTCTAGGTATTCAAGTAGTCACTCCTTCTCTGCCTGATTTGAGACCATGTTACCTACAGCTGCATGGGACTGCAGAACTCACTGTGCCCTTCGAATGTTATGCCTGTCTATCTCACTGACCCTTGGGTTGGGTGACAGCCTTGGATGGGGCCCGGGCTGTATTTATGATCCCAAAGGTGAGTACTGACCTGGTATTGCTAAAAGTCCATTCTGCCTCACACCTGTAACAGGGAGGAGGGCCACAGACATAGTGAGTCTCCGGAGAGTGACCTCTCACTGATTACACCATAGTCAGAGGCTCACTCACTTTCTTATTTGCTATTTCATTCTTCCTAGTTCCAAAAAGCTTTTTCATAACTTTCAGTAAGACGCATACAGTAAGGAGCAGAACCAAGCCAAGTAAGAAATAAGGGGTGGGATTAAACTGAACCAGAAATTCATGGCCTTCCTGCAAAGAAGCCTGAAGTTGAGTAACTTGAATTTTAGACTCAAGTGTTCTGCCAGTCAGAGAAAAAGGGAGATGTGAAAGCCGATGCCACTCACTATCAGATCAGAGTGGGGCAGGAGATTCAGTTCATCAAGAGAGATGCGTTTTGGGGAGGAATGTATTGAGTGGTTTGTTACATAAAATTTTTGTATCTGCCCATCATATTAAAATGCCAGTGCATGTTGCTGAATCCTTTCTAGCATGAAACACTTCAAAAAATTATTCTTCTTCACATTGCCTTTAGACTAGCACAGTTCAGTAATTTTCTAGTATCCACAGTAAAAAGTAAAAAGATACATGTGAGAGTAATTTAATGATATACACATTCCACTCAATATATCCAAAAATATTATCTCAACAGGTAATGAGTATAAAAATTATTGGCACATTTTCTTTAGTAACTAAGTCTTTGGAGTCCAGTGTATATTATTACCCTTACAGCACAACTCAGTTTGGACTAGTCACATTTCAAGTGCTCATAGCCACATGTCGGTGAGTGGGGTAGTGGTGGAAGAGGCAAGTCTTGTTTGTTGTAATATCCTCGTGATAATTTCAGTCTTGAGATTTCGCAGCTACAGTTATCATCAGGAACCTTTAAAGGCAAATTCTTCAGTGTTCCTTGTACTGAGTGGTTGGTCATTAATCTAAAAGTTATCATTTTATGTCACCAAAACGAATTTGATGAGAAGAACAAATTCAGTCATTATCAAGAAAGCAAATAACTTGCTCTGAAAACTTATGGACCCTTACTTTCAATCCTTGTCATTAGTGAATGTACTATAATTTACATTATCTGGGAGATTCTCTTGATCTCTTTTTATGCCACCTGTTTCCTTAAGACTTCCATGATTTCACCAGCTTTCTCTTCTAGGGTTCCAATGAGAATTCGTTTGTATTTTTTCAAAGATATTCATGACTTTTTGCTTGACATTCAGTTACCGGTTCATTTCTTTGATAGCCCCTTGTTGAGAACTGAGACTTGTTGGCTGTCCTCCTCCCCTTCAATGCCTTGCATGGAGTAGAGTGTAGTCGGTAGTGCTTGTTGAATGAACACGTATGTGTCTTCTCCTCTGATTTATGGTCTGGAAAACAGGGGCATGTTTTGACTCCTTTGGTATATTTGTAGCATAGTGTGGGGAATGTACTTGATGCTTAATGAATTCTTGCTGACTGGACCCAGGACTTATAATTGTCCTTCCTAGTCTTGGTCCAAAGCTGTTTCCATCAAACTGTTAAATTACATCCCTGAAAAGACAATCACTGTTTTCATTTGGAGGAAGAAGTACAAAAACACATCACCAACCTTCGTTGCTGGTTCCTAACTGACTCTATGAAAAAAGGAAAGAATTAATGGAGAAAGTGACACTAACTTTAGTTAAATGCCAATAAAGTACAATATACAATTTTTGCCAGAAGGAAAAGTAGGACTATTTTCCTAGGTCCTAAACATTATGATGAAAGAATCTAGTCTGTGCATATTTGAATCATTCGTTCTTTCATCCAATAAATACCAAACACCTGTTATAATTAAGACATTGTGTTAGGCACAGGGGATAAAAAACATGAAGCATTTTGACCCTCAAGTTGCTCACATTTTAGTTGGAAAGCCAGAGCATGACAAAGACCTTTTTAAACCATTTGTAAGTTTAGAGCAAGCTAGCTACTAATGGGAAGAAGATTCAGTAAATCTAATTTTCACTCTGTTTTTCCTTCAGTGGTGTTGGCTAATAAGTATTTTTAGAATAAATGTGTATATAGTGGTTTGTTTTCAAAGACATTACATTATTTGGCATTTATTACATTTTATTTATTTCTTTGATTGATTAATTGCAGTTAAATTACCTTAGCATGCTAGAACAGATTTTACAGATTTTGACATATGATTAAATAGCATAAAGCATAACTAATATGGTTTTTAGTGGCATGCTATGTATTAAAGCATAAAATTTAAACACACACTTCGTCAGGAATTTTTGCAGTTACAGTGAATTAAAAAGATTTAGATATCGGAACTCTCCCCCACTGCTGCCTGCCTTAAGGGAGGGGCAGGAATTTTATAATTGAGATTATTATAGAAGAGTGTCCTGACATAATTGATTGACTTTAGTGATGCGCCTTGAAAGTTCAAGTTCAAGGTGTGCACTTATTTCAGTCAGCTTATTCTGAATGTTTAAATAAGAAATACTATTTCTGGGTATTCTGAATAACTCGCTGTACATTTATTCCTAGTAGTGAGCGTTTGGACTAATGATGGATTGCTAATGAGCACATAAATGTACCACCTGCTTACATTAATATATGATCTTCCATGACGAGGTCTGAAATGAACATTTCTAGTGTGTATTTCTTTTCCCCAAATGGCGCTGTGGTGTATACTGAGCAGGACCGAGACAAGGGTGTTTTTCTTAAGAGCCACTGATTTAGTCAATTATCAGAAATCACATTATAATAAATGCCGTTCTAAGAATTTTGATTAACCTTTAAATAAATTTTACTTTGGAAAAAATAATCTGCCAAATGTGTTAATGATAAATTGTGAAGTGGTAGTAATTGCAAGTATGGCTTCATAGATAACATAGTTAATTGATACCACTCTCTCAAACATGTATAGCACGTCAGCTGCTATGAGGCTGCATGAATGATAGTAATGGTGTCTGTGGCATTTTTGATGTATTGAGGATGATATGAGCAAAATGGAAACTTAGAGTGCTCACCAGGGTCATTCTCTCATGGACATCTGATGCCCATGGTCAAGTAAATTTTTAATGACACATAGTCACTACACACCTTTCAGCCTTCTGAAGAGGTAAGTGTACATTGATCTGTGCTAATTAGCCTTGCAGAGTACTTCAGACATCCTTGCATGAACACTATTATTTAATAAGAATGGGAGCTGTTTTTTTCACAAGCTCAGCACTTGCTCCTTGGATGGCTGTACTGTTGCTGTTTTTCTTTTTTTTTTCACTCAAGTCTCATGTTCATTCTTGTGTTTGTCTCGCTCTGTAGTATCAATGCAGCTGCATAAAAAAGTAAGCAAAAATTAAGGAGTGGGTCTGATTATGAAGGTTCATTGTTATTATAAGAAACCCATAAAGCACACATCCATTCCTTTCCTTATGTATAGGGTGCTGACTGCATAAAATTGCTTGGAAAGACATTAAGGATATACAAGCACTTCTGTTGAGGTGTACAGTGGGATGCTTTTATGTTTGGCAATAAAGGTGGCTCTGGAATATCTGATTTGCCAAATAAAAGGTAGCCAAAACAATTTGTAATTGTTCCAGGTTGGAACATTAGGGACATCTACTTTTTTTTTGAGTTTACTTTTCATCTGAGTTTGGGGTCTGTAACCAAGAATCCTGAGTTTGCTCAGTGTTGGGGTAAAGCAAGTATTGTTTATAATTACCTGATAGGACTTGGAGGTAGGGGAATTTCTAGTATAGATGCTTCTTATTATCATGGTGTTATTCAGTTCCAAATGCGATACAGACCAGATGGTGTTAAATCCCATCGCAGGGATAAAGTCTACAGTCAGAACTTCTTAGAGGCATGAATATCACTTGGTGGATGTGGTACACTGGTTACTGGATTATTTTGTTCTTAAGAAAATGGAACAAGAGTAGGTTCCTGTCGAGCTGTAGGGCTGGCCATTGATGACAATGTTTGGAGTTGCCCTTGTCTGCAAGGAAATCAGGCATCTCTTCCTGTTGTTTCATGACCACAGAGTTGGCTATCGGGCTCCCCAAATGCCTCCTTTACTTGTTTGCTGATATCTGAGGTTGCACAGAGATTAAAATTTTTGGATTTTGCAGATATCCCTAGAAATGATAACAAACGCTTTGTTTAAATCAGATCCATAGAACTCAGTGTGAGTGAGCTTACCAGCTTTTTCTGGAGAGCAGGTTTTGAAAGTGGGGTGGCTAAAAAATATGAGGACCCTGGGTAACAAGGGTGTAAGAGGAACTGTCTTGTGAGCATAGTAGGGGCGACATAAACGACTATGAGTGAGGAGGATTAGAACGGCAGAGGACAAGATTTTCTTTCTTTACCGTATAGGAAACCTCTGCAAGCATCATACTTACTAATTACAGTGTTTTGTTTTGTTTGTTTTTAATTAATTAATTTATTTATTTTTGGCTGCGTTGGGTCTTCGTTGCTGCGTGGCAGGCTTTCTCTAGTTGCGGCAAGCGGGGGCTACTCTTCATTGGGGTGCGCGGGCTTCTCATTGCGGTGGCTTCTCTTGTTGCCGAGCACGGGCTTTAGGTGCACGGGCTTCAGTAGTTGTGGCTCGCGGGCTCTAGAGCGCAGGCTCAGTGGTTGTAGCGCACGGGCTTAGTTGCTCCGCGGCATGTGGGATCTTCCCGGACCAGGGCTTGAACCCGTGTCCCTTGCATTGGCAGGTGGATTCTTAACCACTGTGCCACCAGGGAAGTCCCTCTAATTATAGTTTTAAAACACTTAAAAATTCTGGTTGAAAACTGAATTTGTTTTCAGTTTTCTTAGGTACAAAATTTTTGACTTCATTGCTGTCAGATGTTTTCTTTGAATCACCTAGTTCGTTTATTTAAGAAGGATTTATTGAACAATTGCCATGGGCAAAATAGTATGTTGGATGCTAAGGAGAAAAGACATGATTTTCATCTATAGTGTTTCCGTCAGTCACTATGCTTTAGGCTATAGGTA